GGCGATACACAATCGGCATATCTAGCACGCACTATCTACAAGTAAAGGGAATTTAAAAGCCCCGTTTGACCCCTATTAAATTTTATTTCATTTTTCTTTTTTCTATTTTCAATCGCAATCTTTCATGATTAAAATAATATTACACGTAAATCGAAATTTTTTTCTTCTTTTCAACCATTCATCTCTAAAAAAAAAAACATTATTCCACTCGTTTTTATTTCAAAAAGTGGGTGCCAAATGGTATATATTGGTTGTGATCAAATTTGATAAGAATTTTGAGTTGTGTTAATTTTCATTAATATTTCACATAAGAATCTCCATAAGATGAGTATTTTTAGAGCTTCTCGCAATGTAAATTGAAGTGGAATTTATATATGTGTTTTTTTTTTCCCTTTCCATTCATTGGGATTTCTTCTGTTTTATCAATTGGTTCACACCCTCCTTTACTTCCCAAAGAAAATCAGATCTAGTTTTCTGGAAAAAACACTGTAAAATTTTCGAATTTTTTCCTCTTCCTCCATCCCTATTTATCTAAAAACAAACAAATCTCGTTTAATTTTAACTAAGACTCCGATGATGTTAATGTATTGACTGGATTTTCTAGTTATATTTCAAATAATAAAAGATAATTCTTGTATATGTGCGATGTGGATTTGATATGTATAATGCTATATTTTTGTAAATATCATTCATATGTAGTACAAAACCTTTATTTTTATATTGATGAAAGGTTGTTATAGAATTACAACCTTAAATTTCATTATTAATTAATACAGAATCTTTTTAAAAAATTCATTTTAAGTAGGTGTGTAAATCCAATAAAATTTCAAATAAGATTTTAAATATATTTAGCACATAGTCGAAAAATTATGGTTGCTCAAATCAAGAAACAAAGCTTCCATATTCAAAGTCAAAGAGTTAACGTGTGCAATATTGCCAACTTTGCATGCGTGCCCCACTTTGTTAGTTATGGTATTCATTAACGTGAGACAAACAAACAGAGAATAGAATAATTTTCTTTGCTACGAAATTGTTAACTTTTGAGGAAAAAGTACGTTTAAAACTTTGCGACTTGGGACAGAAACCAAATTTGTGATTATTCTAACGCCAAATAGTTGTTTGTCGACCTGGGATTACTTTTACCTAGGACATAATCAAGAAGCTAAGGACGCCTTTGTCTAAACATCTAAACTAAATTTAACTTGTAGTAGAAGTAACTGTATAAGAATATTCTTGTTCTTCCCATGCATTCATCTCTTCCTCTATTTATATATAACACCATGTGAGCATACGTACGAATCGTATGCAATAATGACAGAAATGGCAAGTTCGAATTCGAGTTTGTATAATGAAAGAGTCGCGGAGATCGTGTTCTTTGATTTAGAAACTACGGTGCCGAACAGAACTGGGCAGAAGTTCAGGGTATTAGAGTTCGGCGCAATCATTGTTTGTCCTCAGAAACTCGTGGAGCTCGAGAGCTATTGCACGCTAATTAGGCCTCGGGACTTATCCGCTGTCGCGTCAAGGTCAGCTCGATGCGATGGAATAACACGTGACGCAGTTACCAATGCGCCGTATTTTGAGGAAGTTTCGGACAAGATTTTCAGCATTTTGAATGGTAGAATTTGGGCAGGTCATAACATTCAAAGATTTGATTGTGTTCGTATTAGGGAGGCATTTGCTGAGATTGGTAGGCCTGCTCCCGTCCCTGTTGGGATCATTGATTCATTGGGAGTCTTGACTGAGAAATTTGGTAGAAGAGCGGGAAATATGAAGGTTGGTGAATCAAAACCTCAAATATCGTTTTTTGTTAAAGCTCAACTGTGCAATATAGAATAGTATTAAAATGAATATGAAGTTAAAATCTCTTTGAATAAGATCTCAATTTGAGAGACATTTTTATCAGATATCTTACTAGAATCCCTTTATTTATTTATTATTTTTTTTGGTTTTGGACAAAATGTACATTTCACCGTGTTAGTATAAATACAACCATTATATGAGTAAAATACAGTTTTGTATAATGATTTTTTTAAGAATGTAATTAAAAAACAAAGAAACTTTTTAGGTTTACGTGCAAATATTTTATTGTGTGAATGTGTGGATAAAAATGATTACATAGCAAAAAAAAAAAAAATGAATTTTCAAATATGTTTGTCAAACAGGGGCTAAATTCTAATGGGCTTTACATCGTCTTTTCTCCCATTTCTATAGATGGCATCATTGGCAGCTTACTTTGGTCTTGGCCAGCAAAAACATAGGTAAAAATTTATGAAATTAATTTCTAGGCATGATATTTAAAATATAATATAATGACAATTTATAAAAATGCTAACATATTTTCTTATTGTTACTATTAGGAGTTTGGAGGATGTAAGAATGAATTTGGAAGTCTTGAAGCATTGTGCAACTGTCCTATTCTTGGTATTGATCACACATATTCAATATGATTTTTCACGATAGTTCGATTATTGTAGGAAAATACAGGTCACGGGTCGTCCATGTGAGGTGACACGATCCACAAGACATTAAAAGGGTTGGAGGGAGTTGTTTGAACTTAAAATTCAAACCTACAACTCCCTATAACCAACCTTAACTCCCATAAAACCTCTAGCTTTTATCTAACAATTTGATAGAGAGAGAATGATGGAAAGAAAAATGGTGAAAATTCGTATGGAAAATATCACCAAAATTGGAAAGGCCCTAAAATCACTATTTTGGTAGGAAAACTCACAAAATAAGATTGTGAATAATAATCCTCTTCCATTGTGATCGAGATTGGGACCATTGGAGTGTAAGAAAATTGCAGAATTCAAAGTTTTGGAAAGTAAGATAATTCAACCATTTAAAAGATCTTTAAATTCATCATTTACTCGAAATTTATGATTATGCATGCTACAATTTATTACAATTATCAATAACTTGACGGATTAATATGCATGATACTCG